ATTTAGCTTTTTTTTTTTTGCCTGTAATTTGAGATTAAATCAATAGTGTTTGACTGAAAAGAAAATGTGATCACAATAGTACTATCCTAAGTTGGAAAGCCGCTCTTGGCACTTTTTCCTATCCCTTTCATTCTCATTGTGGTGACTCAACTGGCGTGCTAGGTAAAAACGTGAGGAAGTGGTAATGTTACAGATTATGCCCTCCATGCGGGTCCTGGGGTTAATGAAACTTCTGATGAGAAATGCAATTTGCCTTTGTCTATTATCTCTACTGCCAATAGCCTGAGCTCCACTGCCTCCTCTGTGGGTTCTTCCATGGTGCCTAGTGATTGGTGGAATGGAAAAAGAGGAAGACTCTTTTAAAAAGATGATGAGTTTTTAATCTTTTTAACATTTACATGTCCTACTCAAGATTGACAAGGTCTCCATCAATCTGGAATTGTCTCTGACCCAAACAGCTTCCCTCAAGGACCCCAGACAGTGTTTATCATATCAGAACCTGTTCTATGGCTCACCCTGTGGGCTTGCTAGCAATCTGAAGCCTTTCTTTATTAAACTGGAGAGGACATAAAGAAGAGCCTGATTGACTTTATATTTTTGACTAATGTTAAACCACAGAGGTCATGAAGGACACAGCTTACATGAAAGATGGTGTTCTGGTGAAACCACAGGCGTAACTGCCTGAAGGATTGGTGTGGACATGTCCCCACCAATAATTTCCGTTTTGTTTTTCTCCTTTCTTTTCTTTAGCCAAAAATGTAACAGATGTTGGGTGCAGCTATCTGTGTTCAGAGCGTTTTCAGTCCATGTTTTTTTTTCCTCTCTCGTGCTGCTCCCGTGTCCCGCCTCTCGGTGTAACATCATCGGATCTGTCGCTTTGACACATCTGATTTGCGGTTGCATTTCACTGCATACAGAGTAGCTACGTGGTTGGAGGAGAGACAGACAGCAGCACTCAGTGAATTTAACCGGTTTAAGTAAAAGTTAGGAAACAGGTTGGTTAAAAAAATTTTGACTTGCCACTAAAAGATCTGTCCATTAGACATACAGAGCTTTTTCAGCAAAAACGGCAACAGATGTTAAGTTTATACAAGTTAGTAATATAATGCAAGAAGCTTGAGAAAACATAGCAGAGCATGACTCCCAGTTACAGGTTAAAATTAAAACATGTTTTCTTATTGTACAGAATCAGACCGAAGAGCTTCTACATATCCTAAAGTTTTATTTCTGGCATTGTTACATTAGTAAAGAGGTTCATAAATCTTTTTAAACAGAGCACAGAGAGAAATAGGGAGAGCTGCAGATTTAAAGGTGAAACAGATTTACTGGCATATGCAACATGCAATAAAATATATCTCCAAGTTTATAAAAAAAAATGCTATTTTTAAAATGCAGCATATCCACAGTTTTCTGGATAGATGGAATTTAAATTGTACCTTCTAGAGGTGCATGATATATTGATTTTGGCATAAGAATCGGCTGTTATTCGTTATTTTTTTTATTAAATTAATGTTTTTGGGCTCTATATTGTAATGCATTAAAAGGCCTCTCTCAAACTATCTATAAATATTAGTATAAGTATTATGGTTCTCTTGTGTTCTCAACAAGAGGAAAGCATTAAATAAATATATGTTGGAGCTCATTTTTGGAAAATACAAAAACCTAATGAAAGCATTCGGGTTGATTAACTGTTGGTCCATCAGCCACCACCCAAGTGTCCCCACCAACTTTCATTACAGAGTTACACATGAATAAAACATGAAAACTTTCATGGCAGAAGCAACATGCTGTGGCACTTTTCTTTAGCAGGGACAAAAGAACAGATCAGAATACTTTTGACTGAAGCTCAGGGTTACCTTTCTCGCGGGACAGTGATCCTAAACAAATAATAACATAAGCTAATATAACTATGAAACTGCAAGAACAAAAAAAAAGTCAGTAGAAAGTGCTGTGCTTCATAAAAGCCAATAAAAAAAACAAAAAGCGGTTCCCTTTGAAAACATTACGTGGTTAAAAAGTGTAAGGTTACATTTCTTCTATCACATTACATCCATAGATTTTACTTTATATTATGTTAATGGATGAAATGGTAATTATATTGTCGAACATACCTTAATGTAATTATTAACAGCCTTTAACAGGAATGACTACTTTCACATTTTCATTGCTGAACATCCAATAGTGGATTATTCAATTTTAAACTGCAGCTTATTCCATTATAATTTTATATTAACCTAATGTGATATTATTAACTCTGATCATATAGCAGCTCCCTAGGCACAATCTCAGACTCTTTTGCAGTGAGATCTGTTACTTGGAGTTTAAGTCAAAGATGGTGGGTTCTATTTTTGCCTGATTTAAACACTAAGGTGTCTGACTGCCTCATCTCTTGTTTATTTTTTTTGTTCTTGTTTTTGTTTTTTGTTTTTTTGCAGTTTAAAAAAAAAGAATAACTTCAAGTAGAAATAAACATTTAGGATTTTAGATAATGTAAATGTTCAGCTTTTTCTGTTTCTAGCATGATCTAAAACTATATTTTTTATCTTTTATCATCATAATTTTTAAATAATGACATTCTGATATTTCATCCTGAAAGAAGATAAATCCAAAACCAGATGAGAAGGTTTTTACCAATGTTTCCCCCTAGGAATATCCTAAACTGGTTTCTCAGCCTGCATCCAAGCTGATATAAACCCTTGGGTTCTGTTTCAGGTTTATGTAACCCACTGGTGATAATGCCTGGGTCAGTTCTTCTCATGCCTGTTGCTGTTGACTATTGTTATCCGTTTGAATAATATCACTTTATCAGGTAATTTCCAACATCTCACACTACAAATAACTAAAATAAGTTTGTATGAATCATGCTGATGCGGTATTAGTCCAGATTCGGTGTCATTAATTACTCAAAGCTGAAATATCGGTATCCTATCAGAAATTAAATAGTTTCCCCAATACCGATATTAAAGTTGGCTCTTAATTTTTCCATGTATGGAAAGCTTATACGTTATGAAAGTCCCCATAAGTAATAAACACATGTAGTCAGTCAGACATAAGATGTGGATAAACTTTAAGCCCCCAAGCATTTTCATTTTAAAAAATGTGTTTAAATAAATTTTTTTTTGCATTCTGGTTGTTGATTTAAACATATTCTTTAGCATATCTCTCCTCTTATTGTGTGCTCTTTACTTTAATCTTATTTTAGGAATAATGAGGTTTTAGCTGGCTGCGGTTGCCACGTGTTACCAGGTAACAATAACGGACTCTGACAATAGGGATTATCCCATCTAACTAATGCAGTGGAAGACTAATCTTGACAGGCTCAGACACTTCCCCCTTCATCACTGCAGCGTTGCAGCACACCGTTCGCCACTTCTGCCTTCAGAACACGTATTGGCCTGGTCGCCGGCCGGCATCTTTACTTTCATGCTTAATTACCTGCCAAGATGGACTGGTGAGGACATGGAGTCATATACGTCTGTCGTCAATGACACCATCAAGTGTTGACAGGGTGGTATTGAACTGTTGTTGTTTTTTTTAAGGTGGAAGGTAACAGTGTACCGCTTTGCATCTGTTACTATTTTTATGGTTTGGTTTTTGTTATTTTCAATGTTGGAAGAATAATCTCTATAAAGAAGGATTCACAATTATAAGGACTTGTTATTGAGGTGCTTAGAATACAAAGAGTAGAAAATGTTAAAAAGAAAATGACATGTTTTAGAAGTTATAAGTTATAAAAGTATAGGTAGATAATAGATTCAGACATTAATAACGTTTTACTCAATACAACAGATTTTCCTTAAAGGAAGTTATGTACGACTGTTGAGTGCAGATATCCGTGTCAGGGTCTGTAACGTGTTTATGATTAATCTGCTTTACTGACCTCTGCAACAGGAAACCCAGGAAAATGAGAATCTTCTATGCATCTCATGCTTGGGTCACTTTCCGTTTACCATCTTCTGATTCTATTGATGTATTTAGATTTGTTTCTCCAAAGATGATTTATCTGTCTCTTGGTGCAGGAAACACAATAGCTTTACACTGCGGTGTAGGCCTTTATAAATGCTCTGGATCCTGTTGTAGGTCGGCTGCCCTCCTTTAAATCATAAACCTTTTGCATGAGCCAGCTGAGTTGAGATTCTGTATCGATTTGAGGCGGCTGCCAAGATCCTGTTCCTGCAAAAGTATGAAACATCAGCCTCGCTGCTGTGCTTTGATGGATGATTAGTTGTTTTGTGCTGATATGATGCGTTAGTTTTTTGCCAAAGTAACTTACAGTATTATGGACATAAATCTTATTCTTTCTTTTTTTTTTTCCTTTAGTCTCTTTTATGCACCAGCATTGTATTTAAGTTTTTTTTCTACTTTACATAAGATTTATATTTATTTCATTTCTTAAAGATATTTTGTGGTTTAACTGGACCAACTTTGTGTTTTTCTCTGATTTCTTTAATCATTTGAGTTATTTTTGTCATGTTTTTTCATTGTTTTATTTTTAACATTTTTGCACAATGCAGCCTATAGAATCAAACTGGGATCACTTATCTGGTTTTTAATTGAGATTTACAATCAGTCTGGAAAATCAATGCAAATAGCCCCTGTCTTTAGTCTGTTAGTGTTTACATGGGGTTTAAAATAAGGATGTTCTTTTTATTTGTAAATGGACGTTAGATCTCCCTGGTGTGATGATCGCTGCAAAGCTAAATTTATTCAATCAAATAAGTTGCGGCATTCTATCTTTATTTTTATGTTTCGTGACATGGCATTAGATTTGTTAGGCAAACAGATTTGTTAGCTGTTTTCAGGAAGTATTTAACCAATTTTAACTGTTTGGGATTTTATTTAATTTGTTTTCATTTATGCAAGTTTTTCTAGCTTTTGAAGCCTGCTTTTATTTTCTAATAATCACTTTCCAACAAAAAAAGGCTGTTTGTGTGTATACATTAAGCCTTTCTTTGATGCCTCACTTTCTCGCTCTTGCTTTTATTTCTTTGTGTCTCTAGTGAATGAAGAAGCCCTGAGGAAGAAGATCACTGATGAGCTGTATAAAGACTTGGAGCAGAAGAGGGCTAAAGCAGAGCAGGAGATGCAAGCATGGTTAGACCCCTGCACACAACACGCACATTAACACATCTTCCTTTCAGATTACAGCTTTTGATTTATTTCTAGATGGAATTTTCTGCATAAAATACTGAACTGCATGTTCTCTGATGATAAACGTGCATCCCTGATAGTCTGTTGATTTAATGTTCCATAAATATCTAGTATTATTAGTGAAAATAAATTGCAAAGCTCACCGTGTTTTGCTACATTAATTCCAGTTATTTCTATTTGTGTGTTTATCCCAAAATATGTTCTTGTTCTTTTTAAACTTGGACATTTTCCAGTTTCATTAATATTCCAAAAGGTCAGCACCAGTCTTTCTGATCCCCACTGTTTCCAATTTACCTTTCTTCCGAAGTACATCAGCACTTTTCCCTCCTTCCCTATCTTCTGTCCTTCTTTACTCTTGTTCCTTTGCAATCAATTAATCATGTCTTAGTAAGGGGAGCACATTGCTGAGATAATTTCCTGGGTGTAGAGGGGGTGATCTATTAGCACTACCTGATAAAGAGACATACTCTTCATGCCTATTGTTTTATTTATGAATAATCCTCTGCCCATTGCTTATCTGTTTTGTTTTGTCCTTAAAATAACAAGTGTGCATTATAGTGTTGCTTTCTCATTTAATACATCTATAGGATTAATGGAGACTTTATTCATAGAGGGGAAGGTAGTAAGGTTGTTTTAATGTCTTTTATAATATAAGAATTTCAAGTAAAGTTGTTCCAGTTGTTTTTTTTGATTTGCTATTTCATCCATGTTTTGTTTTATTTAAACATCTCCTTTCTGCTGCAACTAAGTCAGTCTCTGACATAATTGCAAATCATAGTATAGTTTCAAGCATCAGTTTTTTGTGTATGTCTGTTTTCTTATTAAGAAAAACTGGAAAAAAGATATAATTATTAGTTGAACTTTCTTTATTCAAAATTTCAAAAAACATATGTTTAAGAATAACTGCATTTATATCCAGAAATGGCATCCAGATCAGTTTATGCAGTTTGATTTGCATCTGACAACATATTGATCTAGTTTATATATATATATATATATATATATATATATATATATATTAGTGCTGTCAAAATTATCGCGTTATTAACGCGTTAACGCGAGGCCATTTTAACGGCGATAATTTTTTTAACGTGAGATTAACGCTATGTGGTTTAATGGTACAATTTTCCAAGTACATCCCGCTGCAGCCTGCGGGAAGGCGGGGCTGTTTTCCCCCAGTCTATGCATTTCTCATAGGCTTCGAGAGCGGAGCTCCTCAAGGGAAAAAGACGCTCATACACTGGGTGACGCTAGTGCCTTTTCTTTAAGCCCCACCACCAACAAACAAGTTGAGTGTCTGGTAACTAGTAGCAACCTGAAATACGCTGAGAAAACTGATTACTGAGGTGAAATGGAATCTGCTACGGCGCTCTTGCTGTCTGTGTACGCAACAGGTCGGTATCGTGTGTGTGTGTGTGTGTGTGTGTGTGTGTGTGTGTGTGTGTGTGTGTGTGTGTGTGTGTGTGTGTGTGTGTGTGTGTGTGTGTGTGTGGGTGGGTGGGTGTGTGTTCTCATTTTTGTTAAGAGGCTGAAAAGTAACTTTCTAGAGCATAGACTACCTCCATCTAGTGATGTCGGTCTATTGATTTTGATGTATTGATTGAAAATTGTTCATTATTATCTTGGTTAATTAACATCTAATGTTAACTCTACTAAATTTTATAGCAGTAGGGTAAAATGCTTGTCTTTGTTCAAAAGACTGTATTAACTGTAAAGACTGTCTTTTACATCAGCCTGTTTTCAGGGCCTTTTTTTTGGCTACATATTTGTTATTTTTTGCTACATGCCTCCCCATCTTCTTGCTAAGTGTGTTTCTATGGCATAAATCAGTATCTGTGACCTGTTTTCATTTTAAAAAAGGAACATTGGCACAAACCTAGCCTGTATGTATTTTTTTGTATGTCATCGAGAGTATTTAAATTATTTTCAATCAGGAAAAAAATGTGCGATTAAAATGCGATTAATCGCGAGTTAACTCCGGCATTGATGCGATTAATCGCGATTAAAAAATTTAAGCGATTGACAGCACTAATATATATATATATATATATATATATATATATATATATATATATATATATATATATATATATATATATATATATATATATATATATATATATATATATATATATATATATATATATATATATATATATATATATCCCTTTAGATTGTTGTGATTATGTATTTTTTGGAGTATAAAAGAGACAGGACACTTTACCTTAATTCATAACCACTTTGGAGATACTATACAGTTACTTTTAGTTTGAATCATTAAAATTTCTTAGAATGTAATAGTAACTGTATTTCTGTGTGTGTTTTATTTTATATAAATCTACCCAAACAAGCTGTTCAGTGTTTTTTTAGTCTGATCAGGGGTTTCGTCTCTTTTTACAAATCATCTGAGCATTCCGCCTCAAAATTATATATCTGAGATACTAGCACTCCAATAATTTATTAATCTTCATTTATCCAAAAACTAAAGATTTTATATCATGCTTATTTAACCTTTCAAAGTCATCTTTAGGCATATTTATGATAAAGTATTTCCTTTAGAACTATCTAGAATTCATTTGCTATAAAACCGTATTTATCTGGTGCTACTTTTCCAATGTACAACCCATAGGATCCACTGGATGTGGAAGCGGCATTTAAGCTCTGTGGTGCGGCTCTGCAGGGCCTTTGCAGAGGATTGCAGTAAGTCTTATCAACCATTGCGGTTCCACCAGGTGTGCTACGATGCGTTTCTGAAGCGCCTATGAAATAAGCTGCTGTTGAATTTTCGCTGCTTCAGAACGGAAGTCAGTTGATGAAAAGCACGGTGGATCCGGTTGAATTTACAAGTAAAAGGCTTCATATTCAGAGTGTGGTTCTCATTTTCTAGACTTTAATGTAATCAAAAATTATGTTTACACAATCAATTGACAGCCATAAGAAATATGAGCATTGAATTAAAAAACACATACAAAACATCAATATTTTAACTCGATTACCGATGATAGATCAAAAGAAAAAAGAGGTGAGGTGATAAGATTGTAATGAGATAATGCAATCATAACATTTTCTGAGTGATCCTTTGCAGAGTCACTTTGCTCTGAAAACACTTACAGTGGAATACGGTAAAACTAAACGCAGCACAGCTGCACCAAAATGGAAGGCATAAGAGAGACACGCTTTCTCTGTGTCTCTCTCTTTTTTTTTTTTTTTTTTTTTTTTTTTTTAGGAAGGCTGAGCAACGTCTGGCATCTTTAACTTATTATTGTTAGTTTAAAGAATAACTGTTGCTGTCACAGTGCAGATTGGGTGTTAAAAGAGCCACTTGGTCTCAGCTTTGAACAGAAATGATGACATCATCACTCGCTGATCACAGAAAGTAATATTTTGTTTACTACACAGGTTTAAAACGGTTCAACATGGAAGTTATGGCCAATTGTTTTCCAGGACAGAGAGAGAGTGAAGTGATTCATGAGCAGAGCTCAAACATGCATGAATCAAGCAAAACACCACTTTAGGCATGATTCTGATAAAGAAAAAGAATTTCTAAATATTAAAAAGCTTAAAAAGTAGATTTTTTTTTTGAAAAAGCTTTCTAAAATGAAGAAATAATCTAAAAATGTCCATTTATTTTATTAATGGCTAAAAAAGCATGTAGTTTGGTATTAAATAGTCATAAGAACTGACTAAAGAGTGAAATGTTTCTCGGACCCCATGTGCAAAATGAGTAAAAAATCCTCAATTTGCACAAAAAAATATCCTTTATCCTTAATTTCTCATCACCAGACCATTGGAGCTAATAGTAAGATGCAACAGAGAGACAAATAGGACTCCTCTTGTAGGGATGATACATGCTTGTTGCTCAAAACCCCAAATAAATGGCTGTTCTGTTTTCATTAGTTATTTAACTTTATTCTTGGGGATTAAATGGTTTCTTTTCATACAAATTGAGGTAGTAAAACTTGGAATCTTTTTCCTCATTGGTGCTCTGAGCCTATAATTTAACTGCAGTATAATGGCCCCTGTAGGGATAGCAGGGAAGACACTGTGATGAGATATTTTTTCAGCTAGATTGGAGTAAGGGGTAAAACGCTTTCCTTCTGTGAGTTATAGTGTAATACAGCTCATTTAACAGAACCACTAGGTGCCAGAGCAGTGACACTGTGAGGCTGTTGCATATTGTAAGCACAGAAAAATGAGACATTACATGGAAAGCCAAGTGGAAATACAGTGGCTTAAAAATGTTTCGTATTCCTTACACTTTTCTAGTTTATTTCCAGAAGAAATTTCTGTTTATTCTATTGGAATTTTATGAGCTAAACACAACATAGTTCATAATTATAAGGTGGAAACGCAAATGTTCATGGTTCATAGAAATATTTCCCTGGAAAAAAAGGTGTGCACATATTCTGAGCTTTCACAGCTATTTTAGAAGCAGGTCTTTCTGACAGAATAAGATTTTTCCCATTGTTATTTGCAAAATAGATAAGGCTCAATCAAACTGGAAGGAGTTTATGTGATGAGAAATGTTCAAAATTGTAGAAAAGTTTGATTCATGCCTGGACTTTTACTGAAACTTTCTCACACTTAATAAGCTTGGAGCCCCACTATTCTAGCCCATTAATTGTTTAGGTTTGGTGCACTACTGGAAGCTAAACATATCCCCAAGTATTTTGCAGCCTGTGTAGTTTTTATTTGGTGTTGTGCTTTATTCTAGTTAAATTAATAATTTTTTTCTAGTCTGAGCAGTTTCCCTGTCCAGCCAGTACCATATTGTACTGTGGGAGTTGTGAGTTTAGGATAACATGCAGTGTTCGTTTCTAACCAACTACATCTTCTTTGATGCAGGTTAGAAGGTTCATTGTTAGTAAGATCTGACCAGGCCGCCTTACACGTCTTTGCTTCGTTTTCTACTTGGCTTAGGACAGCAGCAGCTTTTTGCCACC